AACAAATACAAAATACGCGTAGATGATGTTGCTCTGATCAAAAAATCTTCGACTCAGCACATGTGGCTAGAAAACGAAAGCGAGAAATATTTTTAACTGACTTTTTTCTGGGTGTAGTATTTGTTCAAATCTACATATATGTTTACTAAAAAGTATGTTCAGCGTTTGCTGAAGAACTTCGTCCACGGGAGGAAAGCGAACTGTGAGGCCTCAAAACGCAGTGTCGTTGTTAAAACAATCCATTTAACGCCAGGAATGATATATTCTTCTTCTTATTTGGTGCTGCAACCGCTTAAGCGATTTTGGCCGAGTTCCACAAAGCACGCCAGTCGTTTCTCTTCTGTGCCAACTGACGCCAATTGGAAATGCCAAGTGGCTTTCCATAAGTGACTTATAGAGTGCGGTCTTCGTACGTCGAGAGAGGACTTTTCTCTTGAATTGCCTACTCAGTCCAAAGTAGCACTTGTTGGCAAGAGTGATTCTGCATTGGATTTCCATGCTGACATTATTATCGGTGTTAATGCTGGTTTCCAAGTAAATGAAATCCTCTACTTTCTCCAAATTATAACTGTCAACAGTGACGTGGGTGCCAAGGCGCGAATGCGCTGCGTGTTTGTTTGTATCACTTTCGAGAGGATGCCAAATTCAGACATAGCGGCGTATAGGCAACTCCTTTTAGTGCTGTCGAAAGCAGCTTTAAAGTCGACAAATAGGCAGTGAGTGTCGATCCTTTTCTCGCGGGTCTTTTCCAAGATTTGGCGTTTTGTGAATACCTGGTCTATTGGAGATTTGCCTGGTCTAAAGCCACACTGATAAGGCCCATCAGTTCGTTGACGGTAGGCTTCAACCTTTCACGCAATACGCTCGATAAAACCTTGCAAGCTATGCTTAGAAGGCTGATCCTGCTGTAATTTGGAGCGAATGGCGGGGTCGCCTTTCTTGTGTATTGGGCTGAGCACACTTAAATTCCAGTCGTCGGGCATGCGTTCATCTGACCATATTCTGCATAAGAGTTGATGCGTGGACCTTATCAACTCCTCGCCGCCGTACTTGAATAGCTCAGCTGGCAGGCTGTCAGCTCCAGCAGCTTTGTTTATTTTTCAAGCGCGCTATTACTATTCGTACCTCGTCATAGTCAGGTGGTGGAACATCGACTCCGCCATCATCGACCGGGGGCGTCGAGCTCGTCTTCTCCACAGATTTCAGAATTGTTGCCATTCAGTAGGGTGGAAAAGTGTTCCCTCCATAATTTAAGTATGTTCTGGACATCAGTTACTAGGTCAACATTGTTGCTCTTACAAGATTTCGCCCTGGCCTAAAAACCTTCAGTAAGTCACCTAACTCTCTGGTAAAATTTTCGGGCATTCTTCCTGTCGGCCAGAATTTCAAGCTCTTCGCAATCACGTATTTCGGCCTCTCTCTTCTTATTGCGGCAAATACGTCTCGCTTTCCTCTTCAGAGGGCAGCGTGGCCCTGTGGTAGCATATTTTTTCTCTGTAGCTTCCTGGCACTCCTCATCGTACCAGTTGTTCTTTCGGGCTCGCTGAAATCCGACTACTTCTTCGGCGGCGGTACTTAATGAGCGGGAAATGTGGTTCCACTGCTCGCATTTGTCGGATTGTTGAAGAGTGCTCGCTGAGAGCAGGTGTGAGAGTCGAGTAGCGAATGTATTGGCCGTCTGTTGTGATTGCAGCTTTTCGACGTTAAGCTTTCCTTGCAGTTTTGGGTGCACATTTTTTGCTGCACAGAGACGGGTGCGTATATTGGCTGCAACAGGATAGTGGTCCGAGTCGATGTTTGGACCTCGGAGTGTACGTATGAACGTCCAAAACACTGGAAGCGTCTATCACAACATGGTCGATTTGGTTTTTCGTTTCGATCTGGAGACAACCACGTAGCTTTATGGATCTTTTTATGCTACCATGTTTCGGGCCCCAGCGAAGTCGATCAGCCATTGTCGGACGTTTGTCGACGGTGGTTCCCAAGATCCTTTCCTTGCCCACCCTGTCATAGAAGTCACCAAGCACAATTTTGATATCATGGCGGGCGCAGCGCTCGTACGTGAGCTACAAGCGCTCATAGAAAATATCTTCGGAGGCCTCGTCCTTCTCTTCCGTCGGGGCATGAACGCAGATTAGCGAAAGGAATGGTACATACATACGCCTAATAATTTGTCTAATTTCTTGTCAAAAGTCATATGCTCAACTTGGGACAAAGATTCCTAATAAACCACAAACACATGTATTGATGTGAGAATTTGAGAATATAATGCACATTTTATAAAATACTTGTCATGTTCTAGGCTCACTAATTATACCAAAGAGACTTTCATTGACACTAATTAACAACTTTTTCAGCACATAATCTACAAGTCCTCAATGGAAAATATCCTTAAAGAATCAGTTAATTAAATGAGAATTTTACTGCCATCCATATGGCTTGGAAACTTTTTGAAAGAGAAGACATAAGTCCGCTTATGAATGTAAAACCAAATGAATGAATGAATGTATGTACATACAAACATATTTTCAAAAGCCAATATAAGAAACGTTACACTGAATTTATTTTATTAATTTGCTCTTCACATACATATGTATGTATGTATTTATGTATTTTAATATGTGATATGTTTATGTACATATTCATATATATTACATACTAACACTTTTTATGCATCAATGTGGCTAATGTAAACATACATTCATATTTAGTAAGGAGTGGTTTAGTCACCTCTTTTGCTTAAAACCACAAAACCAACTACTACAGCGGCGTAAACCACGCCTACTATCTTATGTTTCCAACAAAAGAGTTGAATTGCAAACAAAACCACAAAAATTACAGAAAATGGGAGAGGGCGAATTTCTACTTATGTACTTACAAATGTATATGCACAAAGCGGTAAATAAATAAGAAAAGTAAAACTCTCAAGTGAATTATGTGTGCGCTGCGCTACCCCAGTTGTGGCCGACGAGCGCCGTAATATTACCCCGCCACGGCGCGCTACCAAGCTAGAGTTGGAGGCGTTTGGATGGCCGGCATTCCAGTGTCGTAGAGCGATTGCCGCAGTGGCATGGCGGGTGGTGCGCGGTAGCAAGAGCGCATGCAGCGGAAATGCACCGCCATACGAACGAGTTAGAGCGCAACAACGAGTAACGAGTTGTTAATTCCGGTTTTACACGCAAAATGCCTGTGGTGGCGCTGTCATCAATGCGTCAATGATATAGCGCTTACGTGTTTGAGGGCAGGCGTGGCCTAAATACGGCCACCACTCCCCGTGTTGACGAAGCGTGCTGAGCGGCAAGCAGGGCGCTGGGCTTTTAATGGCTTTTTTCCACATCGCGTTGCAATGTTCTTCTCTTTTTCACTACAGCGCTGAGGTAGTCAATGCGCTCGACGCAACAGAAGCCAACGCGCTCTTTTCACCTTCATCGACTCACTATAAATGCCAATTACCAGCAAACGCTCCCTTTTTGCCTTGCGCTTGTGTGCATTTATTGCTCTCCCGCTCTACTGCTTGCGCACGCTCTTGTCATCTAAGCCGCGGGTGTGTGTGCGTTGAATGTGCGGCGCGGCCTCTGCAAACATCCGTCCGAACTCGCAACTAGTTTGTGCTCGAACGTGAATAAGCGCGCATCGGCAAGCAAGTGTGGGCACGCGAAAACGAGTTTGACGTGTGCAGCAGAGGCGACGCAATCTAGACGAGCGCACATACAAAATACACCAGAAAATAAAAGAGGCAACAGCGCGCCACGGAGGGGTGTGGCTGCTGATTGCATTGCGCGTACCGGCCGCTAGAGTGCGTCACTGCATTGCCTTGCAAACGCAGTGATTTTTCCAATTAGAAAATACCGGAAGTTGCGCTGCAACAGCGACGGCTGAAAGTAGTGTCACAATGGCGATTTCAAAAGCAAAGTAAACGTCGGCGAGCATCACTAAGAAGTAATATGACTGTCGTAATTGAAAAGTGATGAATTTAATAACAGGCGCGTGTTGATTTTTAAAAAGAAAACAAGTAATAAGCCTTGTGCGATATATTTCAAGAAAAATTTTTATTGAAAATACCGTCGGCAGCGGCACTTAAAAATATACATTCCAGAGCAAAAGAATTAAGTTTTAAGGTAACCAACTTCAAAGTTAAGTGCTTTTTGGTTTCGCAGTCTAAAAGGTTGTGTGCCTGCGGTGGCTTAATTTAAGTCACAAAAAATATTCTACTAAAAATAACGAAAACGTTGCGAACTGCGTCAGTCAAAGTGTCAAATTACCCCCCAAAACAAGTTTCGGCAGCGCTGCGCTGTTGTTGTTATTATAATTGTAGACGGTTGCGAAGATTGTGAGATGGCCATGAACAGGGTAGCAGACGAGGGGTTCAAGTTGGGTTTGCGGTTGGACGGCTTTTCGGCACGTACAGGCCGATAGGTAGGCTGACGGTAAGCAAAATCTTGACCCTGTCAACAAACAAAACAAAAAAAACTGTCTTAACAGTGAAATCGAGAGCAACAGCAACAAAATTAAAAGAAACAATTATAACAACAACAGCAAAATTTCGGTTAGTTAGTAGCCAAACGGCCATTAGAACGCTGACCTGTCACAGACCTGTGAACAGACACAAGTTTTAGATTGCCACTAACAACACTTGGCATTCGTATGCCAAGTCAACTGTCAAATAAGCAAACGAATGCGCAAATTCGCATTAAAAACTTTTCACTAAAACGACGCGCGCTTTCAGTTGCTGACCGAAAACAATTACCTACCGGTCATTTGGAATGTCAAACAGTGGCGTAATGTGGCAGAACTTCCTGTGAAGCAGTGGTCTGCTGTAAAAAAAGTTTTGAAGTGGCTATAATAAAACAACAATAACAAAAATTTGTATTTAATCACACATGTATTAAAAAAAAAAAAATATTTTTAGTTTGAAGTTCTGTGATTGGTGATCTACAGTTGCGCCTGAAACGCTGACTCATAAATGTTTTTTTTTGGTAGATAATTATAATTTTTCAATAATTGATTGGTGAAAATCCGGCATTATTTGGAAAGTGAAACTTTGTGATTTGCTAGCATATTCAATAAACAATGGCTGCTTATGCCCAATATAACGGCTGCGGTTATCCGTCGGCAAATCAAGTAAGTTTATGCATTTCTCTTTTAATTGTTATATTTTTTTAGAGGCTAAGTACATTACTATTGATACATGGGCGTAGCCAGGTAGGGGCCGGGGGCGCGGGTTTCTAAATCAAAATAATATTTTTTTCCTGAATAGAAAGAAACAGAATGAATTAAAAATAAATTCAAATTTGTGGCGTTTCCTACCGAAAAAAATCTCATTGCCCGCTTCGCTCAATCAGCAAGAAGAGGGCAACGAAACGGCGACACTTTTTCTAGAATAGAAAATGTACTTGAATATGGACGTATGTATGTTCTTGTGTACCCTATAGTATATGTATGTGCAAAGTGACGACTTACTAGATCATATATTTCACAATGAAATTGGTGAAATCAAAAACTTTTACAGCTATTTAACACAATTACTTTTCGTGGAAGCCATCATTAGAGTATTTTTTTTTTTGCAAAAGTTATAGTTCTCCTACTAAATAATAAGGGCCTATCTAAATGTCACAATTCCAGCGTCACCTAGTGGGTATATTTTTGCAAAAAAATAAAAATATTCTGCTGTTAAAAATATACGTTAATATAAGAGTATAATACCATGTCCCCACCGGAGCTAACCACGTAGTTATGGCTGTTAAGTTGGTTACCCCGATAACTCACTTGATTTAGTGTAGTTTCGCCATATAAAAATGACAGCACTTAACCCTTTCACTGAGATGGTTAAAAGCTAACAAACTCAAAACCACGTCGAAAGTCTGATACAACCCTGTGTTTTCCCGCCATCTGTGGGTAATTAGCGTTAAGATGTAAAAAATTCGTTCCCTACTAATGTTTGGACTTAACTAAGATCAGATTAGATTTACTCCGGTTTTTGAAAAAATTTAAAATCTAACCCTCTACTCCGCTTGACTTCAAATCTATTCCGTTTTTTATACCCGAGCGCACTTGTGCACAAGGGTATATGAATTTTGTTCACATAACGGTTGTTTGTAACAGCCAAAACGAATCGAGATAGATATAGACAAATGTATAAATAAATGATCAGAATGAAGAGAGAAATCGATTAAGCCATGACTGTGTGTCCGTCCGTCCGTCTAGACGATAACTCGAGCAAAAATTGAGGTATCTGAACGAAATTTGGTATGGAGGTTTCCATTTATCCAAGGTTGGTATTGAAAATGGGCGAAATCGAACTGTAACCATGCCCACTTTTCATATAACGGTAATATTTTAGTAACTACTGCACATTATTCACTCAAAATTGATATTTACAATAAGTTTTAGACGAAAAATAAGAACATTATAAAATTTCGAAAAATGGGCGTAGCTACGCCCACTTATGGTTACATGTGTATATCTTGGTAACCGCTGCACCAATTTCTTCCAAACTTGGCACCGTTGTTGGCCTTCGCACAGTATACCTAATGGCCGAAAATTTTTTAAAACGGACAATAACCACGCCCACATCCCATATAACGGTAATTTAGAGAAATAAAAAATCTTCGATAAATCAGTAAATATTAAAGCTAATTTATTGAAAATTGATGCTTGCAATAATTCTTAACCAAAAAAAATGTATATGATAAAATTTGGGAAAAGAGGCGTGGCACCGCCCACTTATGATCACATATCGTCCCGTTTCTGCCTCAACCTGCAATAGAGGTATTTTAGAGAGTGTAAGAGAAAATGCTTAATTTCTTCCCCTAGGATACAATAAACGCATTTTTTACTTAATATTTCTAGTTCCACTAACAGAAGTGAGCACCCTCATTAAGTCTTTGTTCTATTTTAGAATAAAGTGTCGCTTAAACAGCTGTTATAAGCAGGGATGCCGTTTGGATCTAAATAGATCCAATTGGATACATTTTTAGACGATTTTTTGCGGGATACTTATTTTTTCCTATGAGTATAAATGTGGATACTTTTTTAAATAGGCCAAAATTTTATATTTTCTATAAAGTTTTTTTCGTTCAAAAATAGATTTTCATTAATGACGTTTTCCAAATGTTATAAAAATCGCTACTTAAGCGTGAAATTAGAGCATTTTATTTTTTGTGAATGAAGCAATGAACATATATAGAGATCTCACCAAAGCAGTGTAATAAGAGCTTTAACAGACGGCAGCGTTGATCCGGATCAACTCGGGAATTAACTGCAGTTAATCCGGATTAAGTCCCAGTTAATCCCGATCAACTCGGGAATTAACTGCAGTTGATCCGGATTGAGTCCCAAATAATCCCGATCAACGCTGCCGTCTGTTTAAGCTTTTAGGAGCAATTGTTTAGTTAGCTAAAAAATGCTTTAAGCAAGATCTTAATATATATATATAAATTAAATATATCTCTTTCATATCACATATCTTCATTTGTTAATATAAAAAGAAAGAAGATATCAATGTAGTTTAAAATACACTGTTTAAAAAATAAATTTGATTTATTTAAGGAAATTTTTATGAATTTTAATGAAAAGACTTTAAATACACTCTAAATTTTTTTTGTTTATTTGCGCATAATAAGAAAGGTAAACATTTTCCTCTTTTAATGTGTGCAAATTTGCACAGCGTGTAACAAAATTAAACACTGCCTGTTTACTTTAACATACCAAATTTGTCGCAGAGCACAAAATAACACATAAAATGTTTAAAATAGAGTAAAAGTAAGCTCCTAATGTTTATTATTTGTAGGAAATGTATTTTTAGTTTCAAAATTTTTGCAACTTTAAACATTTCATGTGTATATTTATGTGTATATTTTAAAGATCTCAAGTTCAAAATCGAATCCTGAACATCTTATACGTATGTATATTTATACAGATTCCTGTTGAAAAATAGATATTTTCAGTAGTAGTTTTACACACACCTTTCATAGTGTACAGGTACAAATGTAACATATTAATTACTATTTTTTATACTTACTTTGCAAAATACTTGTGTATAAAAGATGTAATTTATAAATGGAAATTACAAATGTTTGATTTTATGAAATACAGAAATATATATACACGTATTCCAAGTCCTTAGGATGGGTTAAATTATGTTTTTTTCTTCAAAATGTTTGGTTTTCTTACAAATTATGAGATGGATACGGAAAAAAAGAAAATTGGATACATTTGGATACATTTTTGGCTTGGTCGGTGATACATTTTCTTGGGACGGCGCGGCAATACTGGTTATAAGTGGTAATATTAGGTTTCCCAAAAATTGTAGATACGCGGTTAAGGCAGAAACGGGACGATATATATATCTCGGTAACCGTTCTACCAATTTGTACCAAACTCGGTATGGTTATTGTGCTTGCCACATAAAAGCAAAACGTTGAAAATTATTGAAATCGGACTAAAATTGAGGCCGCTTTTCATATAACGGTAAATTTCTGAACTGCTTGAAACTTCAAAATTTCGAAATCTAAGGACTCTAATTTACTCAAAATTGATACGCCCCGGCCTACCATGTAGCGGTAGCTTTCGGTAAGGTGAAAAACATATATTTAATACGTGCGCCGGGTATTTAATGTTCGGCTCCGCCCGAACTTAGACTTCCTTACTTGTTTTTCATTCATGTTATGCCCCTCTTGGGGCCGTTTTTGTAGTTTTCACCACCGATTTCAGTAAAAAATTGAAAGTTAGCCAAATCTCACTGTTAAAAAGTAATTCTTTTTCAGCAATGCTTCAATAAAGCAACTTCGTTATTTTTTGATGTATGGCTGCAGAAATTGGCGGATGCAGAACTTTACTGAAGTTGTTAAAAAATATATGTAGAATGAAATTTATATAAAGTAGAAAAGGTTTAGATCCTATTGCTCTTTAAAAAATTAAGTGTTAGATACGTTCTACTTTATAGAAAATGCTAAAAATTACCTAAATGAGTAAGATATTATCCTTACATTTGCATGAATAAAAAATATTTAAGTCAAACAATTAATGTCAGAAACGAAAATAGAAAATTCAATCTAGTACGGAAAGTTTGTTTTTGCTCCGATTTTTAATCCTGAATCGAGTTTTGGAGGTCCGAACACTGTTCTCTACATTTGTACTGTTTTATAAACCTCAAACCGCAGTGTGGACAGCAATATTTAGTCAGTGATGAGGTTAAGTTCGATTTGAGATGGCTAACAATTTGGTGAGGCCATGGTATAAGGAATATCAATTAAATCGAACCATAACTACATCAGCTCACCTTTGGGGTATGAAAATTCCCTTTAAGTTAGAGCCTTGGATTTATGTAATTTCAGAAGTAAAACATTCAGAAGATATTATTCAGAACATCTTAGCTATTATCGCAGCGTGGTCAAATGAGAACGGATAGAACGCCTCTTCACAAATAAAATCAAAACTTCACCTCATCCAGGTTGCTTTGCCAAATGATTGCATTCTGGCCCTCGCTAAGGAAGTCAAATATCTTCTTAAAATTTATATACAGGTGTACTTAAAAAAAACATAAATTACTCAATTTGGCAGAAATATAGGCATGGGTTGTTTATAGATAGCAATATCTTTTAAATATCTTATAGAATTTTTGCAAAAATGGCATTTATCTAAACAAAATAAAAATAAAAACATTTTTTAATCACCTAATTAGTTATATCTAAGTATATGAAAATTCCATAATTAAATATGACATGGATTCAGCTCCCATTTGATATGCAGTAACGACGGCTGAGTGGAAGATCGACCTATCTCGGCAGCCAGTTGGAAAATGCTTTATCTCAACATATCTTCAATATATGAGATAGGGCATTTTTAACCCAAATTCTGAGATAGGGCTCTCTTTTAAATTTTAAATAGGCTATAATGATTTAATTAATGGCAAATGTGATGAAAAAGGAAACATCAAATGTTTATATTTGGATTGAAGGAAAGGTAAATGGTAATTTTTAATCGAAACTGCTCTTTCTCCTAGCAGAAAAAAGGCATTCTACATAAAACAAAAAAAAGGGTTGAATTACCAAAGCGTAGAGGAACTTGTTGCATTTAGGCCAGACTCTTCTTGTGGGACTTAATCTTTGGCACATACCTAC